CATGTTTGGTGGGATGCGGATTCGAACCCGCGACCCTCATATTGTGAGTCGAGCGTCTTATCCACCTGGCCATGCCGGGCACTTTAACCCTTTAAAACCCCCAGTTTTATATTGTGGCACACGGGCATAAACGTTAACTATCCAGATAATATTACCATTATACATAAAAATCAATAAAAACTTTGATCAGCTTCGTTGTGCCTAAAAGCGTGCAACATTTTTGTTGAGAATAAACTTATAGTCTTCTCTGCTTCATTTCCCATGGGTTAAAATAAACTCCAGAAACAATGTATATTAAATTTCCGTTGTATGAAAAATGACAGTCCTTTGGTATTAAACCAAATAACAAATTTCAAATGTATTTCGGATATGTAAGTGTACTTTAACGACTCCACGAATTGCAACATACCTACCCAGATTGTGATTCCACGAACGCTAGCGCCAGTTTCTGCTCGCATGACTAAGCGTTAATAGAGCATGCGCATTGAGCTACGTACTATGTTCAAGAACTTTCTAGATTATGCGTCATATCCGTTTCCACTGGACGTACAAAACTGATCGACAAAGAGGCGCGACTAGTAGATCTTGGAAATTTTGCCGGTGATAAGAGAGGTTGGTTGAAGACAAAATATTGAACAAAGAAACATCAGTAACAAATATATATATCTGGTACGTATGTTTTTATGTAAAGAAAATTTTAGACATTCATGATTAGTACAAGAGTTAGTTATTTCATAGAAAATACGGTTCAAATTTTCGTACCCCCGTAGCGTTAAACATTACGTTTTTTTTTATTATAAAATTAGGTACTGAAATACTGATTCAGTGTCGTTTTTATATAAACCTGTGAATAAAAAGATCTGTTTGTAATGTTTGTGTTCGATCTGCTGTAATTTTTCGATGGGTAGTATGTTGGTGTGATAAGATTTGATAGAAAATTCATGACGATCTATGAATGATCCTTTGTTCAATTGACCTTGTTTAAGCGCAAAGATAGCAAAGTTCCTCGGTGCCATTTTGTTTTCATACTGAGTCTTAGTTTTGCATCCATAATTATCGGTTATTTGGCATACTACATTAACAGCATATTTGTAAATAGATTTACTAATAATATGTAAGAAGTTTGTTTAATGTTTTAGTTTTACACTGAAACTAAACTATCTTGCTGTTTGGTGCTGAATTAATAATGAATACATTATTGAGGATGGATTGCAGTATACTATAATATTAATAAAGTATAAAGGTGGTTTGTAAGGCCTTGTTTAAATATAAGATTTAACTTCATATTATAAGCATGTAACATTAAATTGATTTTACAGTTGTTTTAAGTGAGGTGCTAACCTTTCAATTACACTGTCAGTGATCTAAACGAACATTTCGACTTGTACTGTTCTGCTTGGTTGTTGTATTTTATGATGTAACTTGTAAGTGTAAGTCAAAACCTTTTGGTAGTCAAAAGATAATGTGTATTTAATATTTATCACACTTACTGTCTTAGCTGGTGTTGACTAATTTAACAAGTTTTTGCCTTCGGAATGAATTATTTAGTTTCTGTACTTCAACTAAACAAGTACTCAAATTGTAAGCTATCTTAACTAAAAAGAACTGCTGAAGAACATAGAGCCACAAGCTATATTTATGTATGATGTGTTAAACTAAAGAAAATGAGAGGATATTGGATAAGGTGATATAAGAAGGGTGATTTTCATTTTTGGTAGTTTCAATGTGGGGTTTAAAAACCGTGTTTGAAATGCTTCACACAGTTTTTTTTTTAAATGGTAATGGAAACTTGGGTGTGAAAAAAAAAAAAAAGTTTTGTTAAACTGTTGATTTTTAAGCATCTTGTTTCAAATTGTTGGAAACAACAGTAGTGTCTGAATTTTGTTGCTTTTCTGTTAGTATGTAGTATTTTTATTCTTGTAGAAACAACATGGCCAAAACACCAGCAATCGGTATTGACCTTGGTACAACCTACTCTTGTGTGGGAGTGTTTCAACATGGTAAAGTTGAAATAATTGCCAATGATCAAGGAAACAGAACAACCCCCAGCTATGTAGCATTCACAGATACAGAACGTTTGATTGGTGATGCAGCCAAAAATCAGGTAGCCATGAATCCACAGAACACAGTTTTTGGTAAGTGTGAGAGGTTAATACTAGTTTTGGAAGTGTAGCTACAAAATTGGTTTTCAGGAATATTTGATATCTACTGGTAGAAATGATTTTTTTTTATAAAGGAATAGGCTAATCTATATCAACCTGCAGATGGATACGGTAAGAAAATTTATTTTAATAGTGTGGGTTTTTTAACTATATGGAAGGATGGAAATGGGGGGGAAAAATTAGGGTAATAATTTTTTTTTAATTAACTAGTTTAAAGAAGATAAGATGAAGGAGCTATCTAGTAAAGATACTGTGTACCTCTAATAAAGGTACAAATTGTGATAGTTTAGCCCTGGAGAAAATCTTTGCTTGTCAAGGCATTTTTTGGTAAACTTTATAGTATTTAGTAGTCAATTTAAATGCCTGGTGTGAAATACTACATGTATTTTTGTTGTTTTAAGTATATAATATATCTACGAAGTATTTTATAAACTTAAAAATACAGGAGGTTGGAAACTTTGATTTTAAAAGTTCACAATAAATCTTTCAACCATTCATGCTGACTGTGGTAGGAATGTGAATTTTTATAATTTTATTTTTGCTATGATAGATGCTAAACGACTTATTGGTCGAAAATGGGATGATCCAACTGTTGCTTCAGACATGAAACACTGGCCCTTCGATGTCACCAACGATGCTGGTAAACCAAAAATCCAGGTTGAGTATAAGGGGGAGAACAAAACATTTTATCCTGAAGAAATCTCTTCAATGGTTCTTACCAAGATGAAAGAAGTGGCTGAAGCTTACCTTGGGAAGACTGTCACAAATGCCGTAGTCACCGTTCCAGCCTATTTTAATGACTCCCAGCGTCAGGCAACCAAAGATGCTGGCACAATTGCTGGTATGAATGTTTTACGTATCATTAATGAACCAACAGCTGCAGCAATTGCATATGGACTTGACAAGAAGGTAAGAGTATGTTTTATTAAGACACTTCTGTTATGTATGATTAGTCATAACTTAAATACTACTATGTAGCAATGAGTGTTTAATGAAAGCTGGTCCATATAATAGTTGTTTTATGAGTCAGATTGATATAAATGCACCAATCGGGTCAGACTATCTTGTTGGGTGAAAAGCTTTATCCGAGTATGTACCAACCAAGGTTTGGAGGTTGAGGGGCTGGCTTACTTGATTCCATTGTCAGCTCTAGCACTGGGTAAAGTAACTTGCTGCCCAAAAATAATCATCATTTTTAGGGAATTAAAAAAGACTGGTATCTTAATTAGAAATATCTGGTACAGTAACTTCTGTGTTCATAGAAAATACAACGTTAGGGTTAGGTAGATCGACATCAATCTGCTATTTTCCACTTAGTGTTATAAAGGGAGGATATATTCGTGGGAACTAATCTTGGATGTCCCAACTTAATCTAATCCAGCATAAGACAGAAAATAAATATATCAATACAATTAATGGAATCATGCATAAGTGAAGCTCTAGTGAAAATATGAGTTAATATTGCTCCATGAATTAGACGTGGCACTAAAAGTGTTAATTAACATTGTGAATAATGGAACAACGTAACTGGTTATTACCTGTTTTGTAGATCTGAGATGTCAAAAACAATCTTAAACTGGATTTAATCAACTTATTTTGGATATTGTTCCTGAATTTCTTAAAGATTTTATATTGGATGAACATAATGGGAGAGTTACTGTATTAGAAAAACTTAATGTAATGAATGTGATCATAATGCTGTCTAAACTTAAAAACACTTGATCGATTAACTTGGCTTTAAAAGTTGCAGTCACTTGAACTTCTTATTGCCCAATAAGACTGCTACACAAATTATTGTTGGTATACAGAACAAGCTGCTTTAGGTTCTATAAAATCGATAATTTTATAATGTGAATTAATGCACTGTTAATAATATCGTTACGTTAACTCGCATACACAACTTCAGATTTACAAAATAAATTGAACTTGACTAATTCTTGGTTAATGTAGTCATTTAGACTTGCAGCCAGCTCATGAGGAAATTTGACACCCGAAAGCTATTGTAATTTTGTTGGACAATTGTGAATTTTTCATCTTTCTTAATTAAGATTTATGCCTGATTAATTCCAGTTTGCTACCACTCATTTGCTGAAACGGAGTGTTTTGAAATAAATTAAGTTCTGTTTTTGCACAGTTTAAGTATAACATGGTAACATAACAAATGAAGAAAGTAGACAGTTTTCTTTATTATAGATGCTTAGTGTTAAACACCTGTTCATTAGTTATTGCCAGTTTGACGAGCAGTGATCACTTCTGATAACGTGTATATTTAATTTTGGTTTTGGTCTTCTGATTTTAATGCATGGTGAGAACGTGATATGAATGTATTAACTCTAAGAAAATATTTCGAAAAGCATTTTAGATATTAGTATAAAATTGGTGATATACAGATGGTGGTAGTTTTACATAACTGAAATTTTGCTTTTTGACACACACACACACACACACACACACACACACACACACACACACACACACACACACACACACACACACACACACACACTACTACTTACGTACGTACTACGTATATTATAATTAAGTTAAGTAGGTAGGTACTTACTTTACTTAGTTAATTTACGTAGTCGACTAGTAGTTATTAGTTAAGTAGTA